TTACTCTCGAAGTTCTCAATGTTGCTCTCGAAGCTCTTACTCTCGAAGTTCTCAATGTTGCTCTCGAAGCTCTTACTCTCGAAGTTCTCAATGTTGCTCTCGAAGCTCTTACTCTCGAAGTTCTCAATGTTGCTCTCGAAGCTCTTAGCCTCAGCGGACTCGACACCCTTGCTGGTCTGGCATAACGCCACAATATCCGGTACGATTCGCTCTTGACACTGTTGACTCGATAGTCTCTCCTCCAAAGAGGTATTCGCCCAATGGCTATCATCAAGAACGCCGGTCTCGACTGCAAGGATATGACATTCCGCCGAGCTACTACTCTCCTCCGATGAGGAGTCGTCTAACTGGCACACTCTCTGCTGTGCCTCACTCAGATTGACCTGGGGATTGCTATCAACCGTCTTTTGCGCGAACTTATCGTGCTTAGCCAACACAACCCGCCCACCAATCTGCTTGCCGTTCAATAATTGTATCACTCTCTCAGCTTCGACATCGGTCTTGAGCTTCACGATGGCAGTGCCCTTCCTGGGCAACATGGTAACATACACCGACAAGTCGCCATTGGAGAGCTCACCGATCAAACCCTTCGTCTCTCGAAAGGTCCAATGGAAGGGTAGGCCGCTAACATACACCTGGGCTCTTGCCCTACTGTCGATCTCCGCGTTGTGCAACTCGGCCAAATGGGCTCCGGTTTGGCCTTTCTTAGGACCCGTGTGATCTTTGGTAGGTAACTTCAGTGGTGCCATCGATCTCATCCCAAGACTCTCTACCCCATATCTCAAGGTAAGCTGAGCCCAGGACTTGCACTCTCGGAGCATGTCTCTGTATGTCGCCACTGACAATCTCGGCAAGCGATCTACATGTAGTTGCCCGTCCCGGGGTAGTCCCATATACAGTCGAGCTCTCGCCTCCAGATCCGAGACAGGAGCTCCCCGAACTTCGGATAGCTGATCTCGGAGGCCTTCCAATTTGGACACGAAGGTCTCCAACCCCTTCGCTCCCTCAGGGCCGCAACCCAAGGCTTCCCATCGCTTCACCAATGACATCTCGTCAGTGCCGTCCGAGTAGCTCTCGAGGACACTCCACATAGTCAGCACTCTCGCCTTGAACGTGAGGTCCTTGTTCCTCGCACAAGTATCATTAATTAACTGTCTCAGGGGTTCGCTGACGTTGTGGTTCACGTAGAAATACTCG